TATAATTTCTATTATAATTTATAAATTATAATAATCTATTCTTTCTTCGCTTACGGTCTTTCCCCCGAACACGACACCACCTCATCATGAATGTATACAAGTTATCTGTCTTGTCCGATACAGTCACGATGAGGGTGCATTGTAATTGGGGGCAGACAATAGCGTCTAATTTGTGCTTGGTCCGACTCCGCGATATATGTCGTCAGAGCCATTTGGTAGTCATACATACCTCTGTTTTCTTATCTATGGTGTCTGTCTCGTCCCCTCTTATTTTTCCCCCTCCTTTCTTTTCTCTTTTTTTTATATAATTTAAAAGGGAGACGACCCTGGGATATCATTGTTTAACTGATCGGCCCCAGGCAATTCAGAATTATCTTATTCTGTTCATCTGATTCCGTCTGGCTTCGAACTTGTGTCTATACTTCCAAGTTTCAACAGATAGACTGAGGTAGGCTCTTTGGTGTCACATCCCTTTTTAAGTTTTTGAACTTTTTGTGCACTTCAGGCTGACATTTCATTTTTCCTCTTTTGTACCCTGTGCTGTGTGCTGAGCACATAATTTTTTTATTTTTTATTTTTTTTTGGGGGGGGGGTTGGGGGGGGGTCGGCCTGTTCTGAACACAGATACAAACTTATTAAAAACTAAAAACTTATAATGGAAGCTCATTATGAGATTGTGTTTATTCAGTTGCCCGGGAACGTGGCCCACTTTTATTTCTTTTTGTTTGAATTTTCAGATAATATTCGGGCCATATCCTAGGCTGGTCCCCGGGCCGCCCGGCCGTCGCCGGGGGGGTGCCGAGCCGCCTGGCCGGTTGCCGCGCCCGGTTGACCACCGGGCGCCCCCAGCGCATCACTGTAGGTTAGTTTTTTTTTTTTTTTTTCCGGCGCTGGGGCCTTTTTTGCCCCCTTCATAGACCGTGTGGACCGCCAAAAAAAAAAGAAACGGGGCCGGCAGGCCCGATTTCACCGATTTGAAATCGGGCCCCATCTGGATCGTCGATCTTGGAGATTGACGGCCCAGATTGCACCGATTTCAAATCGGTGAGGGCGGGGACTACCGGCCCCCGCTCCCTCCCCTGTGCTGAAGATGTGCCCCCAACGTCCCCCCTTCCCTGCCTTGCAGCACTGTGTGTCTGCCGGCCTTCGACGCGGAACTTCAACACACTTCTTTGACGCACCCTGTCAGCACCTGCCAACGCCCGCCATCGCGCATGGCCACGCCGTCGCCCGTTTCTACTTCTTCTTAGTTGGGGGGAGAGAGAGAGAGAGTGAGAGAGAGTGAGACTTAGTTGGGGGGAGAGAGAGAGAGAGTGAGAGAGAGAGAGAGATCTTCTTCTTCTTCTTCTTCTTCTTCTTTTTCTTCTTCTTCTTCTTCTTCTTCTTCTTCTTCTTCTTCTTCGCTTCTACTTCGCTTCTTCTTCTTCTTCTTCTTTGCCCCCGTTTCGATCCCCCCTTCCCACCGTCCTCCACCAGCCGTCTTCTTCTTCTTCTCCCCCTTCGCTGCTTCAACTTCTTCTTCGGCTCCTTCTTCTTCTTCTTCTTCTTCTTCTTCTTCTT